CTGGCCGAGGCTCGTGGAGGGTGGCACGCTTGTCAAGCTGCCGGCCCAGCTTTGCCTCGCCTTCGTCTCGTTCGAATCGGTCTTCTTTCCCTGAAGCACGAAACTCTGAACCGTAAACCCACAGGCGTTGCAATATGCCCTATCAGAAAGAAGACCCGCTTGCCGCTTACCGTCTTTCATACGTTCACTGTTAGCTTCGGGTAAGTTGTGGTGTAGCTTGAGAATCCAAAAGTATTAGTAGGCCCAGGAGTCGGGATTCACGGGCTTACGAGCGCCTCCTAAGTCTGAAAGCTGGTACTTGAGTCCGATAAGGGAGTTGCTGTGTCGACCTGGCCTCGAGATAAGGAACCGAGCTACTTCCCTCACCCCGTGCCGTGTTGAAGGTCGCCTTTGGTTTGCTGTATCGAACAGCCTCAAGCACGTGTTCTAAACCTTGGGAATGCCAAGGCCTCAGGACCTGGTAAGTGTAAGACAATTTAGCGCTTCTGCCAGGTCTTTGATCTGGAACCCGCTGTCCTATGCTGTAGCTCGGAGCCCCAGTGGCTTTGCCGGCCTCAGGGCTCAGGTCAACAGCAAGATGAATCCCTTTGCCGCCTGACCCTCCTGTGAAGGAGGCACGAATTTTGCTCACAAACGGGTCCCTGCCTGAAGCCGTATAAGCACCCACGCCAGTAGCACTCAAGACTGCCCAAGCCTCCAAAACCAACAGCAGCTCCTGCGAGAAGCAAGAGAAAGAAAGAGAGCGAGAGAGGTCTATGGCCGGTCTTTGAATGCCTACTGCGTCGTGCAAGGGCTCCTCCAGCGACAGGCAGGTCTTGGCGGGTTCGTATATTCTTAGAGAAATGTGAGAACAAAACTGCGGTTCCTAAGTCGCCTCTAGAAGAGAATTTGGGGCCTTTGTTGTCACATGGCGCATCTTCGGCGCCTAAACCTGGTCCTTTCTGTTGAGCTTTGAGGTTTTCTGTGGCGAAGAGGGATTTGAAATTGGATCTGGCGCTAGAGGAATGCCGCATCCATGACTACAGCACTTGCCTCCCCTTGCTACCTGCCACACTCTACCCGTGTGGCTAGCTAGCACGGTACCTAGCTCGAATCTCGCACCTGCAGCAGCACCGACTGCGCAGAAGGCCTGCCAGAGCTAAGCCCTGATAAGCTTACACCCCACCTGCACTACGAGGGTCTCCGAGGCCCAGAATTCAAGTTCGGTTGCAGGTGCCGGCAAAGAAGATCATCCTGGCAGCTGGCTGAGCGAAGGACATGTCACGGGATAGGACGAGATGCAACCCCGAAGTGTAGGGCGCCGAAGGCGCGTAGGGCTTAGGGTGTCTTTAGCCCAGAAGGCTTCAAAGTAGTGCTTGTAAAGGTTCATGATTCATGGGAACTTGTTACAGTTATTTTGTGAGGTTTCAGTAGCACTGGCAGGCCAGGTTGGATTGCATATTGCAGCGCTCGCAAACGGCAGGCTAGCTTCATTCGGGCAGAGGGAATGGTTTTTGAACCAGTCAGAAGAAAAACCTGAGGTGCTACCGGCACGGCTCCAGGCACGACCGAAGCTATCGAAGCAATACAAAAACCGACGGACCCTTTCGAGCATTGCGCCACTGGGTGCCCATTCGATCACCTTTCCAACATGAATCCCGTCCGACCCCGAACTCTCTCTGAGCAAGGCCATTGATGAAAACGGCGGTTGGCGGCTTTTTACTCAAGGGCGAGTATCCCATTCGTGAGATGCCCCTGTAGTAGTACCTATGCTTGCCTTCTCACTCCCCCCCAAGCCAGCAATGTTTTTCGTGAGGGCCGAATGCTCTGGGGTTAGTGATGGAGGTTGCCTACAAGGTTGGAGGTGTTGAGCGTAATTAGGAAAATGATGGGTTGCCATATTGGGTTTGGCGGGGGGGGGGGGGGTTTGCAGAGGGACCGTTTTGAGGGATCCCCCAAGAACCTCGAAGTCTCCAGAACCCTGAAGCATGGCAACGCCCCAAGCTTAAAATAACCCCTCTCTGTCCTTTGGGACTTATGGCTTGCGGGCTTGGGGGGTTAGTTTACGGGCAAGCAAGGGCTCTGAACAGCAATCGCCGTTCTTGCTAGGCGCAGGCGTCCGCCCAGCAGGGCTTGTCTGTGGACGCTTTCTATGAGGCAGGATTGGGTTTCAGGCTTCTGCCCAATGTAATTCTGCCCCCGCGCCCTCGGTCCCTCGACCTGAAGTCTCCGCAGCCAAGGGGCGGCATCTTGCCTGTTTTGCTCCTAGCAAGTGTATCTGCAACCAAGGATATTCAAGGCAACTTTGCCGGCGCTAGCTCACTCCCACCGTGCGGCCTGACAGTGTCTGGCTTGCCCCATCTCTGCAGCGGGTGCCTGTGCTTGGATCCGGAGCCAAGCTCAGGGCGACGAGGTGGAGAAGAAGATCCATCATATCCTCGAGACCATGGGCTTGAAGGCCTGTTTTAAGCTCGGCTAGAACGTGAGCGTGTACTGTACATATATTTAGCCGCATTTGTGTGATATATTATGTATATACTTACTATACAGATGTATGTATGTCTGTTTTATATGGCCGACAACAAGGTATAGGGCGTAGGATGCCTGCAGCTGAGCTGGATGATTGGGCCATGTGCTGTATTCACAGGATCAGGGTCCCACGGCCCATGAAAGAGACGTCAAACGACGCGCGTTGCCTCAGTGCCCCCTACAGTTGCCCCAACGTATCGCAAGCCAATGGAGAGCAATCTAGACGCTGGGATTTTATTGTTTTTTGGGAACGTGCCGCTCCTGGAATGAACGACAACGCTCATGCCTGCTTCAAGTGAGAGTCTGGCTGGTTCGCAACAGGTCCTATGTGCTCTAGGATCCTCGACCTGAGCCCCTACACTTCAACGCATGCGCAGGTCTACGAAGGCTATCGCCTGCTGGGCATTCAGCAGTGCACTCGAGCACGACTGCCACGCGCCTGCATCTAGTCGAGAAGCTTCGGCAGGCATACAGAACCCAATGACGGGGTCCAGGACCTAGGCTGGGTCACGGTAGGGGTTCTAACAACATCAGTTTCCCGAAGCGCAGAGCACAAACTCCTGGGTTTGCTGTGAAAAGAACTGAGATAGAGTTACGATCATTATTCGAAACGTGGGAAATCATAGGGCTTCCTCATTAGATGAAAACTGAAATTTTACGTATTTACATTCCTGAACGGCAAAAGGGCTCAGCCTTCGAGCTCCGGGCGCGTTTCCCATCGGCCCACGCCCGTGGAAGTCCATGCAGGCAAAACATGTTGATGAGATGTCAACTCCATCTGCAACCCCTTGCTCAGCCTTGCTCCACGAACTGGTCCACTGGATGGGTTGCAGAGAGAATGAGAGCCCCGCTGACATAGAGACGAGGAACTGGCCACTGGAATGGGCAAAAAACCTTCACATCCAAGCCCCGTTTACCCCCAAAGCCTCATCCCCAGACCTTGCGCTTGCTCCTGAAAGTATAGGACCCCCGAAGAGATTTAAGACAACGTCCGTTTGCTTAAGACACCCCGTGGACAAGGAAGGGCCTCATCCTCGAGGATCAGAATGGCGGGTGCGGATCCTAGGGTTTTCTTCGCAGCCTTTGAGGACGGCGCTTCGGAGGTTTCTTGTTTGGAGGTTCATGTGGGGTTTGGGAGGAATTGTTTGTCCCTCATTCTTGGGTTTAGGGAGATCCTATTTCTGGACACTTTCCAGAACAGTTTAAGAACCACCGTAGCTAAAATTTCGGCAAGCGTTGGTTAGCCCGCGTGGCCCTAGTCCATAAAAAAGAAAAGTAGGTCCCAAGCCTGTGAGGCCCGGCTCGGTCCGATCTGCCTTTATTATGATTCCGAGCCTATCTGAAGATCAGATTTACAACTTCGTTGGTTGTTAGGGCGTCTCGCTGCAAGCATCGGCCGTAGAAGCCGGTCGTTACGGGACCATAAACATGCAAGACGCGCAAGCTCCAAGGCCTGAACTTCAGGGCTTCCTAAACCCATGAGACCCTGATAAAGTGGGAGAGTTGCGCTTCTTTGCAGGGAAGTGGCCCCTCGGCCTGCTGAAGAGTTGGCCGCCGCCGAGCGCGAGAGGGAGAAGAGGCACCGGAAGTGCATGCGATGGCTCTCATAAGGGCCCCACCCGGTCTGGGGCTTCAAATCCCCCAAAAGAACACTAAGCTAAATAAACCCCTGCATGGGTTGGACTCATCCATTTACCTGAGCAAGCTGCCACTCATGGCTAAGTCCCCGCCAACACCACCTCTGCTGCTCACGCAAAAGCATACTGAAGAAAGAGCACGCCCAAGAGGGCAAGGCGGAGAGACAGATTCAACGAGCAATTCCCCTGAGACGTCCTTCGGCTTCCTGAGTGTCAGGAGATCGGAGGATCATGAGCAATGAAGCGCTTCAATGAGCCACCGTCCGGGGCTCTCATGGAGAGAAAGGGCTCACCGAGCCAGTTGATGACTGGAGTTCGCACGCCGAGTTGGATGCCTCGAAGTGGCACCGAACAAACTGCTGCTGAACATCACTCAGACTAGAGCTATAGATTCCATAGATCAGACTTCACGCACATCGAAGCAGCCATGCTATCCACCAGTGGCGCCGTGATTGAGTTGTCTTGTCTCGAGTCCAAGCGGCCAGTCGTCTGCTGGAGGATGCACAGACGGCCGTTGGGGAAGGGGGGGGAGTAGGTGGGCATTTCTGCCGGGTGATTTGCAATGCGATGTGGCCAAATCAGGTCGGGTGATTGGGCAGCTGGAGTCGCAACGACCATCGCAGCATCAACGAAGCTATTCGTGAAGCAGGGATCCAGCCAGCGAACGTCCTGGACGCCAGGTGTGGGTCGCAACCCGATGAGAATGCGGCATGCGTATGAAGTCCGATGACATACTGCCATCTTGACAAGCTGGGGTCCCATTGACGAAGGCCTCAAGATGCAGTCATTCAGCAGGTGCAGGTCGTACCAAACTTGCTTGACCGAGCTCTGGGGGAGTTGGCAGGCTATGGGGCCATGAGCATCAATATGCACGCAGCGAGCTTTCAGCGAAGAGACCGGGCACTGCGACTTTCGCATGTCGATTGTCAACCACACTGGATTGGCCCAAATTTTCTAAACTTCCAGACAAAGAAGAAGCTCCCAAACCCTGACCCTTTTGTGCCCCCCAAATTCCTCACCAAACTCAAGAAGCGCAGGTTCCCGGCCCCAGAGGCCGCTCGCGCGCCCATGGGTACCATGGAGGCGTTGGCCCTGGTGTGGCCTAGTGTTATACGTATTATATATATATATGTATATATATATATATATGTATATTTCTATTTGTATAAGGGAGGGAGGGAAGAGAGAGACAGAGAGGCGAGGGAGAGAGAGCGAGAGATGTAGGAACTGTTATTTTCAAGTTTGCTACAAGCAAGTCATGTGTGTCTGTCTATGTATGTTTATTTCAGGCTTAGACCCCAAACTGCGAGTCCTCGACCCTCAACCCTCCACCTTTGGATTCGGCATCTTGACGTTGCTCCGTAGACAGAGAGGGGATGACTGTAAGTGTGTCTGTTCACACAGGTCATGATCTTGCATTGACACACGGTGCAAGCATGTGATATTTCAGCTCCGAAACCAAGCGTTCAGGATTTCGGGGCGAGCCCGGCCGGTCTGCCACAGAAGGTGCCAAACGTCGCGGGTGTTGGGAGAGAGGGGGGTGTGGAAAAATTGGTTTCGTGTCATGAGGCTGAGGCTTGGCTTGGGGTTTCGGACTCACTGCCCTTGCGAGACGCGCGCTGGGCATCAACTCTTGCGCCGTCAACTCCTATACCACACCCTGGCCCAAAGATCCCCCAACCTGAAATCACTCAATACACCCCGAAGTGTCCTGGCCTCCAAGCCCATCTAGGAGCTGATGCGGTTTCAAGGTCCATGATTGAAGCTTGGAGCCTCGAAGCAAGTTTCCTCCATTCACCCGGAGAGTCGGCACCCGCTCGGTACGCCATGAGCCTTTGCTTAGTTCCCCACTCAGCGCACATTGAGTCTTCCCGAAGTCTCTCACTCTGACGCCCGGAACCAGCCCAAAACATGGAAGCCTGGATCCTTAGAATTTTGGGTTTAGGCCTTCCCTCGCGCTTCAACCATGGAAGCTCACCTGCATCCGAGCTCCTGGCGTGTCGACTGTGCATCACGGCGGACGCGCTCAACGTGGACCCCGACATTTTCAACTCCGCCCGGGGCTGCGGCAATCTTGTGCAATCTTGTGTTTGTCCAACACTCAACGCAAAACCCTCAAATCCCCACAGCCCGAAACTCCGAACTGCGAATTCGCAGCCGTACACATGCCTCCAAGAGTTTCAACCAACGAGGTCCATGGAAACGGCCTGGTCTACGATGGCCGGGAGCCCCGGGACCAGGGTGTCAGCGTGAACCCTGAGTCGTGTGCCGAGGACCTTTGCACAGGAGCTTTTTAAGGTCTAGCCTTGCACTGGAGCGCGTTGAGGGTTTGCGGTTTTAGTGCCGGAGAAGGGTGAGGCTGGGGAACCCCTAAACCCCCCTAAGAGGCCTAAACCCCAAGAAGTGTCTCTGGGCACTCCAGGCCGGCTGATCGTGGACCACAATTTCTGCACCACGGATCCCGGCATCTTCGGGGTTGGCACCGGCGAGTTTTCCCAAGTGACCCGTTAAGGCTCTTTTTTCACCCTAAACCCCAAAGACCCCTTAAAACCCTAAAGACCCTAAACCCTAAACCCGGCTTCCCGACTCATTGGGATGGGGGGCTATGCTCACAAGCAATCCATTTGGTTGGCGCAGGGCTTTTGTCCCTCGAGAAGGGACGTCGTCAGGTCGTCAGGTCGTCACGTTAATCTCCAGCTGCGGGGTTGAGGGCTGAGGGTGTAGAGTTCATGGCACGCGCCCTTTTTGAAGCCTGATCACCCTGCCCTTCAAGTTTCCCATGCTCCCCGTCTTTCGACGAACCTTAACCCAGCATCCTCCTAAAACCCACTTTACCGCCACAAACCTAAACCGTATTCAGAAGTATGTCCAAGGTTTAGTTGGTCAGGGTTCTATGGGCCCATAGAAGGTTCTGAAAAAGTTGGGGCTTCACATCATGTGTTCACATCATGCTACGTTTTTCATGCCGTGCTATGTGTACATACATGTTAAATTGTGTGTGTGGGTGTATGCACCATTGTATCTTGAGCTCAGCTTGAACCCTAACGGCAGCCAAGCTCCAATTTCCCATCCTCAAGCCTGAAGCCTGAGCCCCGCCTCCACGCCGCATCCTGCTAACCTCGGGTCTCCGGGGCCGGGACGATCCGAAGACTTCGGCCCTTCAAAAGCGCTTCTTGGCCAGGCCGGTTCCCTCTGCGAGTTCAGCCGGCGCTTCCAGCGGAAGGATGCCGCGCGCGCCCGGCAGAATCTCTCTCTCTTTATGTTGTTTGGTGGCTTTTGGAGGGCCTTCAGGGCTCCAGGGTTATAGGGTTATCGGGTTATCGGGTTATCAGGTTATCGGGTTATCGGGTTATAGGGTTATAGGGTTATAGGGTTATAGGGTTTAGGGTGGGTTGTGGGTTGTGGGTTTCAGGGTAGGGGCTCCAAAAGCTCTAGAGTGGGTTTCAGGGGTTTGGGGCTTGCGAGGGTTTTTCGGCTTCGGGGTTTAAAGGCTTTGGAGAAGTTTCAGAGTGTGGGGGCTTCAGGAATCGAGGGATTCTGACCCCTTTTATTTGAAGTTCATGCAAAGATCCATGCCGTTTCTGAGGATGTCCCCAAGTCCTGAAGTAAACCCTACACTGACCTTCCTGGTCTTTTCAACATGGAACATATGCAAACACTCGGCAGGCGATACCTGCGGCACGACGGCTTCAACGGGCGCGAGGCCTGATCAGACGCCACTCGCAATTACGCTTGGGGGGGGGGGGGGGGGGGGGGGGGCGTTCCTGCAACATAAAAGGGTTTAGGGCTTGGGTTCAGCGCCTTCAAGAACAACTCAGGCTCATGGAGCGGCTTAGGGGTTTGCATCTCCCTAGAAGTGATTGGCAAAAGAAGCTGCTGACGGCCCTGCTGTTCACCCGGATCTCCCCACCCTCCCGAGCTCTCCCCGGCTCTTGTCCCCACAGCTGCCCTCAAATTGGGCCACCCTAAGCCCGAGAGCTAAGCTCCTAAACCCCAACAATCCTAAACCGCTAAAACTCAGGGCTAGGTGTTCCGAGGGTTGGGGTCTTAGGAGTCTTGGGGCTTGGGCCATTGGGCCATGTTGGCTCCGTGGTGGCTCCCATAGACGATGCTTCTCAAAGCTTCTCGGACATAGCCTTCGGATCAGACCCGACACCCGAAACCCTAAACCCTGCGTGAGTGCCCCTCTGCCGTAATAGTCTTCGTAGCCTTCTGTTTGGCCTGTCAACCAGCGTGGCCGCGTGTAAGGCATGAGACCTTGTGGACTTTTCAGCAACCCCTAAGCCCTAAACTCCGAGCCCTAAGCCTTATAAGCCCTAACAAGCCCTAACCCGAAGCAAGCAGGTTGGCGGCAAGCTCGCCACCGCCTTGCTGAGGAAGCTGGATCCTGTTTGGTGGCCCAGTTGCTCGAAGTTTAACACCCTGAACTTCAGGCTTTGGGGTGTAGGACTCAGGGGCCTACAAGCCCAAAAGCAAGGAAGTCCTAAGCCCTACACTTCAGGGTCTGTAGGGCTGACACATGGGCTTCATTGGGCATTAAGAGCAACGGGCTGGGGGTCGAGGGTTCAGAAGAAGCACAGCCGTCAACCCACGCACATGCGAAGATCACTGAGGATGCGTCTGTTGAAACAATGAGCCGGGCGCATGGGAAACTAAACTGTTTTTTTCGCATGTTGAAGCCTTTGCGGCTAAATCCACAACTCGAAGGTCAACGGCGACTCCGTTGCAGCCGGCGGACCCTCGTTGAATACCGGCAGCACGGTGTCGGGCGCTCGGGGGAGAAGCAGAGCAGGGAAAGGATGGTGTTTAAAATAAGTACATCTGTATACATATGTACATATATATATATATATATCAATGTGTTTTCTTGGTATCTTTTCATTTATCTATGTTTAATGTTCTCTATATACATAAGTTCTTCATGTACATACTCATTATTTAACACTGTATTTACATATTGCCCTCTGCTCCGGCTCCAAAGCCCGAATTTGAAAGCCCTGTGCGTCGAGTTGAAGCTTCCATGTCGATGTCACAACAAGTCGATGTAGGAAGTCTGCCCTGCATGCAGCTGCTCAATACTGGGCCTGCTCGTTTCTCTGCACCCCTTGAAGCAACGCAAGGTCTCACTTCAAGCAAACCTCAGTAGGCCCGACAAGAGGCAAGTAAATGAATATAGATATAAATATAACTATATATATAAATAAATATAAATATAAATATAAATATATATATATATATATATTTCTGTGTGCATTTTATGCTTTTTTGCATATTCTTTCAACAGATAAATAATAACATGATATATACATATATACATATATACATATATACATATATACATATATACATATATACATATATACATATATACATATATACATATATACATATATACATGTATTAATATATTTCTCTATTCTACAATATCGTAGGTGTATACATATATATATATATATTACCTTAATTACATTGAATGACTGTGCTATTCCAGGCATCCCAAGCTTCGAGTTGCCCACCCTGCGCGTTTGGTGCAGGCACGACACGGGCACCACCGGCGGCGTCATGCAACTCCGCCCAGTTTCTTCAGGGGTTACAGAAAGACTTCGGGGTTCAGAGGAGGGGGGGCTTTGGGGTTTCAGGGCTTTGGGGCTTCAGGGATTCAGGCATTTTGAGGAAGTTGTCAGGGGTTCAGGGATTCAGAGTGGCGGTTCTTTTTGCTCCTCCGCGGCCGAGGATTTGGGAGAAGAGGGTCGACGCACAAGAAAAGCCCGGAAAGAGTCCTAAACTCGACTCTGAGAACCCGTGGTATAGAGTTGGCAGGCTCGGAGCCACGGTAATTCGCGCGTTGGGGGCTTCATACCTGGGCGCGGCCCCCACGGAGCTCGATGAAACCTTCTGACAAGCCGACCTGAAAACGTAGACCCTTTGACCCTAAACCCTAAGCCTACCCTAAACCCCAAATCCTACCGTTTTGAACGGTTTTGGCTTCTCAGTTACAAAAGACAAGCGTGAGCACCACGCATTGCAAAGAGTCCAGACTCAAAGTTTCGAACAGAATCTCTCAAAGGCGCACAAGGTGCTTCTTATTGGAAACCGGCCCAATTTCCGTGGTTCCAACAGCAACATAGGCTCAAGCGCCTGGCGTTGCAGCAGGCTTTGCACCCTCGGCCAGATCACAAATGTTCCGCATTGGCCGCATTGCAGCCGCTGTCTGCCTGGCCCTTCACGGCGCCAGCTGCTTCCTCCTGCCAAGCCAGCTGACGACAGGCACACCTCAAAGGGTGTCGCGCGCTGTGGTGGGGCAGCCGAGCACCTCGGTCGGCCATTGACAAGTAATTTGGTATTTATCCTTGTACTGTGTCTAAGAGGTGCTTTGAGAAGTGCAGCTCCTTCTTTCACAGGTTGCTTGTCTCCCGTGCCAATGTTAGGCGCCTTCAAGGGCACCCCTGAGCCCAGCCAGCCCAGCTCCTGGAGTCTGCTGGCTGGTGCAGCGTTGGGGCTTCTGATCTCAGCGGCCACTGCAAAACCGGCCCTTGCCATGGAGCTGGAGACTGGGCTCTCCAATACCTCACTTCTGAAAACGTGGAGCATGTTGTGGGGAGTTTAGCCTTGCTGTTATTTCCTTGAGATATCAGGAAGGAAGAAAGGAATGGTCGGGGGACGTACCAAGGCAGTTGTACGTAGAGCAAAAAAGAAGGCCTAGGGAAACCTCAGTACTTGCAGCTACGACCGCAGATCCGCAATGATTAACATGGTGGCAAGTTCTGTGATTTCAGAAATGGTACATATGGGGGTTTACGAAAAGGGTGACCCCAATAAAGATCCCCAAAGAGTAGGACCCCAATAAGGCACCCCTCCGTTCGGAAACCCCCATATGGGAGTAGAAGGCCGTAAAGCCCCCAGAATCGACCCTATAAGAGGCCTGGTCTTCGGATTGTAGGGCAAAACTGCCTGGCAGAAGAGAGCTTAAACCACGAGGGGAGCTGTCGCATCAACCTTTAGCCGTCACTGGGTTTTGCTGGCCTAAACCCTTCGTCCCTCCCGATCCTCCAAGCAAGGAGAAGGGCGAAACCTCCTTCCAGGGCAACTGCACTGCCTGCCATGTTGGCGGTTTGGTAGAGATGCAAAAGAGGCTTTGTCGTCCAGTGGATTTTAGAGTATAGTTGCTATGCTTTTCTCTTGGGGTCTACATGTAAGAGGGTAGTTAATATCACACTTTGCGTGTCATCTGTGAATAGTTGTCCGAAGGTTTCTAGGGCTAACCTGTGGAGGGATTCCATCGTCGAGTACCGCAAGTACGATGTCCAGGCCATCATCAGCCGGGAGTCCGACAGAGGTGTGAAGCCTCCTGTTGGCGACAAGATGAGGCCTGACAACTTCGAGGATGTGGCGAACTTCGTCTACAGCAAAGCTGACAAGTGGTGAGCAGCTTGAGGCACTGAACACACAAAGTGTTTCGAACCCTTTTTAATCAGCGATTTCGCTGTGTTTTGCATTGTTGCATGCTCAGGTTTTCCGACGTGGTTCAAGAGAGACTCGCGTCCTGCCCAATTCGAGATATGTTCCGTAGTTTGCATGCTGATGCTTTCGCAGTGGTAGGCGAGTCCTATAGGCTTCTCCCTCTACGCCCACCAATCTGGCGCACGTGCTTGGGAGCTCTTCCGAGGAATAGGATGAATTGTCCTTCGCATTTTTCTCTCCCGAAGTGAGGGTGTGCGAACCTCACCCGGCCTATCAGCACTGAGAAGAAGACTCGGCCATTGCTGATACAACTAGCTCATATTCTGTGATTTGTTGGTCTTGGTTGCCAATACTAATACTTTTTTTGGCAATGCTGCTTTTACACGATTACGGGTACCATGCTCCTGATAACTACAGGCATAAAGCAATGTGATGATTATGATTCTTGCAGGGGGGGGGGGGGGGGGGGGGGCGGCCGTACCTTTGCTGGAGCGCAGGCGCCTTCTGCAGTCCCCGAGTCCGACACCTCTCGGAACCCCTAGTTATAGTTGTAGAGAGCGCCTGATCCCTCAAGACAGCCCATAGAAAGGGCAGCAAAGAGTGAGAGGGAGGGAGGGAGAGTGACAGTGAGAGAGCCAGGATGACTCCAGAGGAGGCCAGCCTGCGTGCGTTCCGCGTGCTGAATAAGCAGAAGATTGATTGCTACTACGTCCTCATTGCTCAAAGGGGAAGGCACCGTGCAAACTTCGTGCTGGCAGCTGTCTCGGCACATGCTGCCTCGGAACGTACTGTATTCAGACTTGAGGTCCCATCTTGTCCCATTCCAACCGATCCTTCTTCACTCGGCACTGGCAGAATGTGAACTCAATGTGAACTCAAGACATTTAGGACTTGCGGCTCTTGCGGCGACGACTAATGAAGCTAGGTTTTTATTTGTTCAACCACTCGTCGGGAGTCAGTTCATGGGGAAGCAGAAGGCGGGGAGAAAGCACTGGTGTGATGCAGGTGGGGTGCTTGCTGGCTGCTGCCATGATCCAAGGGTAAAGGGTTTACTCGGTAAGTGCAGGTTCTTACATCCCTAGACGTGAGAGCAGCGCACTGCGATGCTGACTTGGTATGGCCTAAACCCTAAACCCTGAAATCCCCTCACAAGGAAGCGCCGGATCTCCTGCCCGAGTTTTACAAGCCTGGGGCTTGAGACCTGAACGCCACGGCATTCTCCTAATTGGTTTGAGGGTTTCCGAAATTAGGGGTGCCTTACTGTTTTGGGTTTTCTATTAAGGACCCTATTTCTTACACCCCCATTTGGGGCCCGCATCGCTCAGCAAAGTGCGTTGGACACATGCCTTTTTCCCTCGCAACTCTTCCTCCTCAACCTCTGCGCTTCAAGCAGTCGTCTCCTTTGAGGGTGGGGGGGGGGTGGACAGTTTGCGGGGGAGCGGGGTTGCGCAGGGATTGCGAGGTTTGATTTTTTGACTGTTGGTGTGTTGAGGTCTTGGGGCTAAAGGCTGGGGGCTTGCCCGTTCCAGATGAGGTTCTTTCAAGCAGGCCCTCAAAATGCCCAAGCTGCAAAGGGCTCAGAAACGGAAGAAGAGAGCCCGAGGGGCAGAATATCCGGCAACATGCGCATCCGAGCTGGTGATGGCACAAAGGGCCGATTGCGAAAGGAGGTCTCCTACCAGGAACCTCCACTACTATAGCCCGCCTCCCAGCATCTGGGGAAGCTTTCGGGTTGAAGGCACGAGGTTCCCTCGAAGAGGGGAGGCGACCTCAGTTGGAAAGACCCCGGTTGGCTTGGTGTAGGAGAAAGTCATGGCTTGACTAGGCTTGGGCCTTATCGCAGCTTCCGGTAAGTCAGGGCCCTCCCTCAGGACTGCTCACCCTCTCCTGAGGAATTCACGCCTGTCGACGTGGGGCGTGCAGGCCAGCCACTACAGGGACGGGACAGTATTTGAGAACAAACTCTGGTTACGAACGCATGCAAACACAAAACTCAGCTCTCTGCATGTGTATCAACGTGGTCGGGCTCGCTGCCTCGTTGTTTGCTAAAGTCGAGAGCCATTTTCTGCAGAGGCAGAGCCGGCCGAGCAAAATGAGGAGCAGGTGATAGTCGGGCCTCATGCTTCTGGAGCTTCATCGGTTTGGTGGGGTGGGGGGGGGGGGGGGGGGGCGGGAGCTATAGGGTTAAAGGGCGGGCGCGAAGCCCTTCAAGCCTACGGCTCAAAAGAAGATCGCAAGCCTTCTGAACTTCTGTCCAAGAATGCTGTGAAGGACCCAACACGAGACTCTCAAACGCTCAAGCTCTCCAGAGTCTAGTCGCTTTGTCAGGTGACTTTTGGGGGGTCTCTTGATTACAAAACGCCGCAAAGCCCATGAATTTAAGCTCAGGTGACCGACACGCTGGACCTGAGCAATGGCAAAGGCCACTTTTGCAAGGGCCTTACCGCATGTGTGGCGACCAGAAGGTTAGAGAGGCCCATCGCAACTGAGAGCGCACCCAACAAGATGCCTGGCACCGTGTCCACGCTGCCCGGTAAGAGGCGAGGCTTGAGCTTCATGCGAACACGGCCCCGAGTGAGTGCGAACTTATGATGGCACATGCCAGCACTGCTCTGGAACAAGGTGGGTCCCCGAGTTTTGCATCAAGCCGTCCATCTCGGCCTCTCTACCCTAGAACCCGAGCCCCTCCTCTTGTCTTGAGCTCCTCATAAGCTCCAAAATCACCCTAAACCCGAAACCCTAGACCCTAGAAGCTGTTCCGAGGCCGACTCACGCTCGACTCCTGCGGGAAGGTCGACTCCATCACCTACCTGGGCGCGGCCCCCAGCTGCCAAAATGTCAGGGGACTGTCTTGGCTTGAGAGGGTTCTGGGGGAGATTTCTTCGTATGTTTCTTGCTGCGTCCTGCTCAATTTGCATAGTTTTGCGGAGAGCTTAAAAGGGCCAAGCGACCGAGTCTGGCTCATGTTCAGGGTTTGGAGTTCTGGGGCTTGCGGGGGCCGAAGCCCCACATAAAGTCCGCAAGCCCAGTTCCTGTGTGCGCTGCCTTATGCCTCGTGGCTGCCGCAACAGAGACTTCGACACCCTGAGCTGTGAAAGCCTTGAAGCCGTGACGTGGAGGAATTCCTCCAAGTAGCAGAAGGAACGCCTACGAAGCTTCCCCCCAAAGCCTGAAGCCCTGAAGGCTTCAAAGGCCTGTAAGACCCCTGGTTTCCCTTCTTTTGGGAGGACCTTTCAGCACTATCGGCAATCAGCTAGATGGACCCCGTTTAAGGGCAGTGCATTCCGCAAGGCAATAGATGACCCCAAAGAGAGAAGAGGAGCCCCAGAATGAGTCATCTTATTGTTGGGTCCATAAGCCCTTCAACCCCTTCAACCCCATGAAAACGAGCTCCCCCAAAACCGACCCCAAAACCGGGGGGGGTTGCAAGGTGGCGAGGCTCTGCAGGTGGAGTCGCTGTGGAGTCGGGAGCTGAGCTAGGGGCTTCGAAATGTCTTGACTGGGTTTAAAAGGAGGAGATCTTGTTGAAGAATGTTTCTCAGCAGCGGTAAAAGGGGCCGACCTGAGGCCGCTGCTCAGGTCTTTACGTTTGTCGGCTTGGAGTGATTGTGTATTGCGGGTGTTAGGGAGGGCTTGCAGGCTGAAGGCTTTGGGGTTCAGAGGGGTTTGCTTGAGGGGTTTATGGAAACGCGGCAGTCGCCGTTGTTTTTTTTGGCGTCGGGGTGGGGGGAGGGGGTATTTTGCTGCAACTTTATGCGGGGAGAGAGCCTGAATGCTGAGCATAGGATGCCTAGAACAGGCCATAAATACCCTGACAGAGGTCTTGTCGGCCTAAGCGAGACCTTCCTGAACCACCTGTACCAGAGATGGAGGCAATGCGTGAAGCAATGGCCGAGAAAGTTCTGTTGCGAGGGTGGTGCAGGGATGCCAGGGGGATGCAGGGGTTTGTTTATGTAGTGAAGTGGTTATAGGGGTTTAAAGTTCCATGAAAGGTGCCGTTGCATCCCTTGCTTGAGTGGTGCCTTTCTTGGCTAAGTTCCGAATCTTCTCCCTCTGAACTTACCGCTGTGCAGTGGTGCTGAGCTGCATGGCTTTGTAGGGCTGCCAGTTCTGAGAGGGTTGACGTGGGTTATGTGGGGTTTTCAACCCTACCAGCAAAGCACTCCAACCTACCAAGCCGCTGCCAGGGACGACGACATCCCAGACATCGTGGAGCTCAGACCTCAGATACACGCTTGCCAGATTTGTAAACCCCCCATCGCACCCCCCGCAAGAAGTCGCCGGCAAAGGTTCCTTGCGGACGAGTGGGCGACCGCACTCTTCCACGACAGATTTATGGACTTCTGCTCCTCAGCCGAGTCTTAACAGCTTTGGGTCATCGAGGCTTCTATTACTAACGGTCTTTAGCATCTTCGTGCCTGAGATTTGAAGAAACACTTGAAGTCGAAGATGCCGCGAAGTTCTTTAAGTGGCAACTGACTCCTGGAGCTGGCTGGCATGCCAGCGCAGCCAGAAGTGCGCGACGTAATCTCCCAATACTTCCCGACTGTAGCTATTCAACTACTCAGGCAAAGCGCCTACGCAGCAGCAATGGCTAAGCACCATTGGCTGAAGTCCGGGTGCATGGACAGCTCCATCCAAGAAGACGCAGATTCACACCACCACCCCCGGTCCTACATCCTAAGGCCCATGTGAAGTCTCAACCCTAAGCGCCTCAACCCTGAGGCCATCAAATCAAGCTGGAGATGCTGTCCTCGGAGGAGGTCCTCCTTTGCTCGCAGCAGAATTCGAGTTGGATTGGCCTCCTCGGGTTCAGGGCTTCGTTGGCTCTCGGCTCTCTGGTAACTTTGAGTGTTCTTGCCCCTCTGCTCGGTTTTGGGGGTTCCTTAAGTTGTAGGGACTGGGGCAAGTTAGGGCTCACCTGTTCTACCTAAGTCTTTCGTCACTGATCTTGAAGCCTCTGT